GGGTGGGCTTCCCCATGCACTTAGACCAGTTGTTGGTCCATTGTGCACCCCCCTTTAATTTCTACTGTCGCCATACCCTACCGGTACTGGTGCGTGCTATCAGCCCCGTTCAGCCGAGGTCGGCTCTCGGTACCTGATATTTCCCCCATCTACCAGAGGCATTGGAAACTACTTGGGCGGGAAACTTGTTGCCTAATTTTGCTCAGAAGTCTCCTAGAGACATGAGGATCTTTTACATGCCGTAAATCTACAACACGGGACCCACAGCTTAAAGTCCCTCCCGGAGGACTTGTTCCCTGAATTTTTCCACCCTTAAAAATTCCACGACCTCCGCCGGGTTTGAACCCACGTACCTTGAGTCATGATCATATATCTCTAAGATCCATTTTAATATTGTCCACCCACCTATGCCTTGGTCTTCCCAGTGGTATCAAATTTTATTTCTGTAAGATTTTAAATTGTAAAGTTGTAAAAATTGATCATTAGGTATTTGTTTTATTGCCTTATAACTTTATGATAATTGCATTAGTAATTTATTTTTGTGAACAAATACATGTTTAATTGTTAATTGTCCTTTGTTCTAAATTATGAGTTCTGAGAGCTTCTGAAAGATAAGATGTGGTCCAGATATTTTGTGTGATTAGAACTGTTTGTTGAACACAGATGCTTGTCATATTTGAAGAAGCTGAGAAGAAAAATAAGACTCTTGCAAGTTGGACAAAGGAGAGGGTGGAGCAAGTTAACCGTATTGCAGCAGTATGGGACAACTTTCAAGCCATACTAGATAATCATCAGTATATTCTCAGCAGACAGGTGTGCCCTGTTATAATGAACTGGTACTGTGGACTGTGTCTGCTAAGGACTGCTTTCAAAACTTCCCATTTTTGCATCAGTAGGAGCAGTGAGAAATGCTATTGCCCAGTATTAGTGTACTGGATGAAAAAGTTTGTGTCATGAATGACATTAATAAATAAATCTGCTTGTAATTTTTTGTATGCTTAAGCATCAGGACAGCATTTACTTCCATGAAGTCTGTTAACATGTATTTTTCCTTATTTTGAATTTTAAAGAGCAAACGTGTTTGGCTTTACTTGTAACTAATGGAATGGACACTAGGTACCCTGCTTCTTAATTTATCTGTTACCTTTTCTTAACAGTGTAAGGAAGAATATGAGCATACACACTCATAGATGGCTGCTTCTCACTACCTATTTATTGGGTGACATATTTGCCTGAATGCCCTTATCTTAGGCTCATTTGTTAAATAAATGTATCTATTATAATTTTCATAGTACAAAAGTGTGTTCTACAGAAGAGCTGTAAGAGAATAAATACAACCCAAACTACTAGCTAGAAATGTCCTCTTCTTTCTGTCCAGAGCTCAGGGCTGTTAGTCTAGTATTTCAAAACCACAGAATTTGGATTTGGTTGGTTTTAAGATAAGGGAACTAAGAGAGGTGCCAGGATTTTACAAACTTTCTGAAAGTCGAAAATAAATATGGTACACATATAGTATAATTGGAGCAGTAAAAATCACTTTCTTTCTGAAGAGTGAGTATATATTCAGTAGAAAGAAGATGCATATAAACAGAAACAAGGTGAAATACCTTTTTTTAAAACCTCAGTTCTGGAGTAGAAGGTCAAAGTAGATTAACTCCCGGACAGAAAGTTTTCAGGTATTTACCTTCAGTAACATAGTAACATAATGTAACTTATTATTGTGGAAGTGTATTTAGGTATACTATCTATAAATATTTGAAGGGATTTGAAGATAAAATAAATATTAGTGTAAAAATATTCCTTGCAGGTTGAAGGAATTAAAAGTAATCTTATGACAGAAGTTCAAAAGCTAATGGGTGAAGTAGAAAAGTTCCAGTTGCGCTGGGAACAGCTGAAGCCTCGGGAGACAAGCCTTCAAGATGGTGAACCTGAGATCCTAACTAAGAGCCTCAGTATTCTCCAAGAAAAGAGACAGGAATGGCAGCTACTGTTACAGACAAGAGATAAGCTTCTGTAAGAATCAGATTCATGTAACTTTGCAATAGCAGATGATGCAGTTTGATGTGACAAATGTAGAAATGCTGTGCATTGTTTTAAATAAGATATGAAATCACCATCTAGCTGTATGTAATTTATTTCCTCTCTCTGATTAATTATTACTGTATCTCATCATGTCTCAGTTATAAGTGACCAGCCTCAGAGGGAGACCAAATATTAAAGGAAGCTTTACAACATATTTAAATTAAAGGTTTTAAAATTAACAAGTCATAAAATTTTTACAAATGTCTAGAACTGATATTATATTGATGTCCATTAATATGAACAGTTGCTAAATATGATCTTGTTAACTATTAGTGTGTCATATGTCATATATTGCAGTCTCATGCTTGAACTGTGATGTTTGCTCTGATCATTTGCAGGCAAGACTGTGCTAATTTTGGAATTGAGATTCCTGAATTTTCTATAGTAGATGAAGTTGAGAGTGACCTCAAGAAGCATGAAAATATGTGGTCTCTCTTTGATGAATTCAATACAGGTAATTATTCATACACAGAAATATTACATACCACAAAATATGGCATAATCTGTACAGCTGACAGGTAGAATTAAAAGAATGTTACATTAAACATTAGCATATATTTAACATTTGAGTACAATGTTCTTCATTCACAAGACTGCAACTTGACAGTTGTATTCCAGCATAACAGAGTTTCCATAATTTATTTTACCTGCAGTACACACAGAACATAATGAAATGTGTGGATTATCATCTTGATTTGTTCAAGAAGACTGGTAATCCAAGCAACATTTCTGTAAAATACATACCATGATTTTTAATGTAATGTCTTAAGAAAATGAAAATACCTTGCATGGTATCTTGATAATTAGTGTTTTAGGAAATGTCACTTCAGCATTACAACTGTATTCTTTTGATATAATGCTGTTTTTATTTCTTATTGAATTTATGTAGGTATTGAAACTATGTCAAAAGAAGAATGGATTGTATTTTGTAGCAAGAGCTACAAGTTTGAAGAATTCCTTCAGTATTGGCAAGAAAAACTTAAATCTGGTGTTGAGACTACATCATTAACTGTAAGGTTACTGCAAGAAGTTGAAAAGTATAAGGTGAGAATCACAGATTGTCGAGTAACTGACTCTGAGCAACAATTGGAAACACCATGTATAAATCTTCGTTAAAGATGATGTTACATTGTTGAAGGTAGTTGGTACAGAAGATGTCTGGAGAACTGTCAGCAAGTAAGATTTGACGTTCTCACAGAGGTGGTTATGAAGAGTTCTGTCCTCTATGATATAATGCTGTATAGTCCATTGAAAGTCTGCTGATGCGTCAGAGGAATGTGTTGCTCTGCTTGCAACCTGCTTCATCCTTTTTTTTTTTTTTTTTTTT